GCTTTTTTGTTTCTGAAATTACTGTGGGGTTGTCTGTGGGAATTCTTTATTTTCCTTAAAGGAGTTCAGTCTCCTTATACAGAATATGTATATTCAGCACTGCATGTTCACAAGCATTTCCTCTCCTCTTTTACGTTCCCAGGAAAAAAAGTCTTCAGAAAAGCCCTGTCTCACCACCTTTTTCAGGTTAGGAGGGTAATCAGTTACTGGAAGCCCTTTGTAGCTAATGATTATGTCATCCATTTTACTGCCCGTTGTAGGGGTATTGATAAATGGGGCACCCCTGAAGGTAAGGTTATTCCCAACACATCTTCCTGCCTGACACTTGCTATCTTCGTTGAACAGAAGCCAAGTATACCTACTGCAAGCTGAATTACATATTTTCTAGTTACTAGGATATACGGCAACAAAAGTGTAAAAGCTACACTTGCACTACGCTTTTACAAAAGAATAAGAAATGGTAATTATCTTCTGTTCGAGAATACTAAGAAAAAAGATTAGTCTAACTTGGCTTTTATTACTTTATGCAAAAGTGGTTTTTTTAGACACTGTATTTAAATCCTGCAAAGTCACGGGAAGTATTTCACTTGGTTTCTTTGATATGCGAGCACTCCAAGTAGTGCTGACACACAGGGATTCCTGGTAAGTCCACACTTAAAATCCAAATGCCCAAGTTTCCATTACAGCTGCAAGGCAGCACATGCCTAAAGGTACAGGTATCACATACGTTTCCTTAGTGACAAGGGGGCATTGCTAACTTGCTAATTATAAAGTGAACTGATAGTTCTTACTTGGTATTCTGCAAATCTTCAAGAATGTTTTATTAGCCACCAAATACATTAGGACTACTGACATCCTGAAATGCTCCATTTTTAATAAGGTACCCTATCACCTGATATAACAGTAAAATTACAAAGGTCATATTCATGAAATCAAACAGATCTTCCTGCATTCTATCCAGGCTCATAATAAACACACACACTCTCTTTTTAATTATATATTAATTTGGAATAATTTTGTAGAGCTCTCACTGCATTTAGGCCCCTGTCTAGCCAGAAATCTGCATTACCTGGGAGCATATAATGAAATAGAATTAAAATAGATTACGCTACAACTGAATGCACAGTAGTCTAATATATGCACCGCCGTACCCTCCTCATCAATAGTTAAAGGAACTCAGCAATATCGTTGGCAAGATACCACAAACAGAGTTAAAGCAATCTCATGCTTGCATTAATTTTTATTTCAAAAATTTTAGCTGGTAATTTCTTCTATCTTCTACATACCTAATCCATGTAGGAGATAAAACATACCAGAGATATATTATTAGATCCAGGCATGAAACAGTTAACAGCAGTGCACATGCCAAGGTTTTAATAAGGCTTAACAATAAAAAGCTTCAATCCTCCACTTTCGCTAGATATTGTTGTGGTGGTTTTCCTTTGCTTAGGGCAATCCATCTGTTAATGTTGACTTGCAATATAGTTAAGCTCGCACACATCTAAATAACCTAGAACAGCTAACCTAAGCAATAGTGAGCTCAAATGAATATTACAGAGATAGAACAATTCATCTTAGGCAAAGATTAATTGTGTGTGTGTGCACACAGGCACGTATGAGTGCGCTCCCATTATTCCTTTTTTTTTTAGGAAAGACTTTCAAAATGCAAATCATAGGAGGCCAAGCTGATCACTACAGTTTGCAATAACACATTTAATTATTTATCCTCTGATTAGGTTTTGACAGCTATTTTACATGCTGTAATTTGTTTTGATTTACTGTTAATTTTTTTAAAGTCTATTGCCGATCTGGTAAAAAAAAAAAAAAAATACAATAAAACCACTATCACAGCAACGATAAAGCTTAGTAAATATTCATTGTTAAAAACGGCTCTGCACTGTGACCAGTGCTGGTATTCTCCCTGGGCCAAACTGGCCTTGTTTTCAATAAAACCAGAGAAGTACCCTTTCCCTTGAGCCCTGTTAGGCTGAGGCTGCAGTTGGAACTGTCATCTTCGCACAAAAGCAAAGGGGTTGGGTTTTACAAACGCAAAGCCTAATTGGGAGATCTTCATGGCTGTACCCTTGACATTTATTAAAGCCTCATCAACAAAACAGGAAATAACCGTACTAATTAGCAGACCCACATACAAAATACTATGTGTTGGGGTAAAAGCAGATTCACCTCCTATTGTAAAGGAAACATCCTCCCAGCCCCCAAAACCCTGTTACAAACCAACTACTAAAATGATCTTTTACAGCGAAGCAAACTTTCCTATCATACATAACGTTTCAGAGCAAGTATGTTTTACAGCATCTCAGGTAACTATTAGTTAGTATTTATGTTTAACTGTTTCCAAGAAGTGGAGAACGAAAAGCTCAATGCATCCATTTAACATGACGTAAAATATAACACCAAATTCTTTACGCTTACAAGCTTTTAAATGTTTTAGTATGGAAGAGATAGCAATAAAGTGCAGAGGTGCCTCTTGTTTGGAAGCAAGATGACCATTAAAAGTAATCTCTATCTTTTGTTGTTTAGGCTTTGGGCAGGATATTCAAATAAACTGACATTGCAACTTAAACAGTATCTGGTCCTTACTTTAAATATACATCAAAGTACATGAACTGCGTGTTAGCACTATCCTTATACTGCTGTAGACACTCACGGGCACCATTTTAGAAAGCTGGGTGGAAAGGTTCATTTGCAGGATAAAGAGTTACGGAAAAAAGGATTAAACCTGACAACAATAGCAATCTGTGAAATTCACTTCTTTTAAATGGCAGATTCAGTACTAGATCAAAAATAGTCTCTCTCATACACGTGCACTTGTGAATACAAATACAGATTTTTATTTGGATGTAAAATCAGCACTTACTCATATAGAACTTGCATTTATGTTACCTTATTCAAATACTTACAAAGAACAAAAATAAAAAGAAGAGTAGCGACAGTAGACTATTATTTTTTAGAAATATTTTGGTTGGTTTGCTTCTGGGGAGGAGGAAAAAACGGGAACAGCGTGAGTGAGAGGTGAATAAAACTGGGAGAGCAGAGTTCTTGGGGAACGAGCGCCATTTGCTCTTACCTGCCCACTGGGCTCGGGTGACATTTGGGACAAGAGCTGGGGAGAAGACACAGGACCTTTGGTCTGCGGCGGGGCAAAACTGCGGGGCTACTAGTTACAAGCTTCGCTAGTAAACAAACCCTATATATGTACACCTATATGCATGCATGTGTATGCACACAGAAACACACACGTGTATATGTATATATATACACATATAACAAAACTATGGACGGACATGCACTCCTCCTGTCTTGTTTTCAAAACTACAAGACGACTGGTAGAAACAGCAACAATACTATCAGAGGATTTAGCAGTATACAGCTGCACGAACCCCAAACCCTACAGAAGTTAAATTGTTCTGTCCGAACACAGGCCTTCCACAGAAATGATTAATTGTACCAAGGTAAATTATATTCCTTTGTATCCCTACACTCCCGTACCTAGCAGCAGGCAGCACTGCCATATCAGTAAACTACTGCAGATTTCTTTAATAAAAGCAGCCTATAAAATTTCACTGACTACAAGGGTACATTTGTGTTATGCACTTACACAAATACATACAACTGTCGATTCACCTACACTCCCCTGTGAATGTCGACTTAAAATGCATTAGAAGCTTTTCGTCCCTCACATTACCAAATTATAAAGGGTGGGAGAGGAAGTGCTCTATATTAGAATGACAGTTATCTACGAGAAACAAAAATTTTAAGAACCATTCATGTTCTTAACACGAGCTCTATACTCATACATTTAGAACTGTACGTCTTCTCTTCTAATATGCAGTGAAGAAAATCTACTGCACACAGGTTCCTGATAGAATGCAGCCTGCCTGTACATAAAATATACTGAGGGCACACAGTCTGAAACTTTATCACTGGCTCTAAGAGATCATGAAAACACGTACAAAGTAAAACCTGCCTAAATAATTAAAGCAGGAAGTCTTTGTATTATTTCCAACCCTACTAAAAATATTTACTTGATACTAATGCACAATTTCAACATCATTTAGCAGTAATCTGCATCAGTTCTATGTTAAATTTCACAAACTTTATATTTATTATGAATCAAATTATCAAATCAAATTGATTAAATAGACAATTTTTTTATCATTGCAATATCTAAAGTAAAAAACCAAATGTTGTTAGATGAGCTGGACTGCATTTCTATAATTAATTATCATATGAGGAAGCTATATGCATTAAAAATCCATATATAAACATTCATTACATGTATTAAAATATGAAATAACAATATCATGTAAAAATATATACCCACACATTAAAATATGTACATATGCAGGTATTTATTCCCAGGAAAAAAAAGCTATAAAAAATATTTTACCGATGTCTTTGAAATAAAACTGTCAAAATGAATCCAAAGACATGAAAACGCTTGCCAAAGTTGAGACACTACACCTGTTACTTCAAATCAGGACTAGAAAGGATTAGAGAACAAAAGGACAAGAGATTGGCACCGTATTAACTAGCTGACTTATTAATAAAATAATAAATCATAACTATCTGAGCAAGGTTAAAGGCCATATGACTGCCAAATCAATTTATCAGAAATACAAAATTAACATGCCCCAGTATAAGAAACTGAAAACGGTAGTTTAACACAGACCTGTGACTAGAACAGAATGTATTTGCTGTAAGAAGCCTTTACCAAAAACAGAATTGAAGAATTAAATCTCAGATCTGTACTTATAAATCTCCTGTTTTTTCCCCTCTCACCAGGGGTGAAATACAAATAGCATTTTTCCTCCAGTCAAGCAGTATAGCACTCTTTCTATAAGCACAGCCTTTTAATCACAGAATCCAAACACAGACAGTAAAATAGTCTTAAACAGATTCAACAATGCATTACTGTATGTGGTAAAAGATTTTCCTCTTATCTATGTGAATAAACACGGAAGTTTCAGGTGCCTTACCTGTGCCAGTCTTCGCTTTTCTGAGTTTGCTCTTTTCTCATAATGCAATGTGTAGACGGGAGCAGTCTGTACTGCACCAGCACTGCAAGTTCCATACTGTTCCTCACTCTCCTATGCAACAAAACAGATTTAAATTCCTTTATTTACAATCATTATCTGCAAATGTACCCTCCACATTATGCATGCAGAATGCATTCAAAATTATCTTGCCACAATCTATTACTGTCATGAAAATACCATCTGTAGTAAGAAAATAAAATTTAGCTTTTCAAGAAGCTGAATTATCAACATGGCAATTTAAAAGATGAATTGTTCAAATGTCTAGGAAACATTTTTGAAAGTTTTCTTAAAATAGCATAAAATATATCTAAAAACTAGTTCCTTTGCCCTACAGAAAAATCTTAAGAGGAAACATTTTCAATGGGAAAAGCAGCTGCAAAATCCCTCAAACATCTTTCCTGACATTTCTGCAATGTTGCTTTTGCAAAAGGAAACTACTCCTTCGTTTTTAAACATCGCCATTGTTCACGTATCTTACAAAACCAAAATGGACAACTACACCTTCTGAAATACCTTGTACTGCTATAGCCTCTCCCATCTCAAATTCTCAGCTTGAAGCAAAGGTTTCGATTGTGATATCAAAGCAATCAACTTTATGAAAACATACATCCTGTTAATGTATCTTTGAAGCCCTCTGTTGTTCTATGATAAAATATGCGAACAATAAAGAGATTATTCAGTGGATGCATAGAATGACAGATAGTTGCCAGAGGGCTCGTTATGAAAAATGTATTGTTGAACAAAGGGCTAAGCATATTTCAAAAGTCATTAAAAACACAAATCTCATGTGATTTGTAAAGTATAAGCTTCAAACTGATACAGGAAGCAAGCTAAGAAAGTAAAAAGTGTACTACGTACCTTGTGTTTTAACTTACTCTTCACTTCTTTTATTCCTTGCTTTGCCTGATTTTTTGCCTAGAAAAATAAAAGGACCTTAGTAGCTCTGCAAGACACTGCCTGTAGTCATAGAACGTGCTTTATGATGCCATACTTATTTTGCCATTTTTTTAAAACACCTCGTGATATAAAGCGCAGCAATCACCTTTACCACAAATTTCATACATGCATTGTCAGTATACTTTATACATACATGCTTTGTCCATATATTTAAGGATTTTTTTTCAGTACATGCATGCTAATGCTGAGAAAACATACACACTCAAAAATACTCCAATATTACTAAGGACAGGCTAAAAATGGTCATATACATCACTCCTTTATTTGAAATGGTCCTTTACATTTGGAAGGATATTTTATCAGTAAGGCATGTTGGAAAAATGTTAAGATTTTCAAGATGACTGCTACAGTGTTCCAGTCTGGCAACTTGCAGGGCAACATCAATCTTAAGAGAAATGAAGGGATTTCATATGCAGATGGAGACTTTGCCCAGTGCTGCTGAACAGCATAGCGCTGCTATTTAGGGGAGAATTCTCTATGTATTGAAATAGGCAGCCAAGGATCACTGTTGCATAGAAAACAGCCAGGAATGTTCTTCAATAGATAAATGAATTATCAATACAGAATACCATGTACTTAGCTAAAATCATTTTTAAAAATAAAAAAAGACAGAGAGAGAGAGAGAGAGAGAGAGAAGGGGGGGGAGTAAAAAAAAATGGAGGTGAGGGGATGACACCAAAACCCCTGACCCTAATAGAAGAAAAAGTACATTTCTTATATAAGTATAGGAAAACACGACGGAAGTTTTCAAGGTTGTCTTGAAATTAGGACTTTTTAAAAAATATTTAAGGGCATAAGTATGTGGAAACCAACTATTTTTCTCTGCCTTTCTATACATGGAAATTTGGAAAAAGAAAATTATTTTCTTGACTCAAGAGGTCAGAGTCTTTTTGATCCTTAAATCATACATCTATAAGCTCAATAACAGCACAATGGGGTGCCACGTAGCAGATGCTGATGTGAGAGTCACTTTAACTTTCCAGATCATGCTCACAGCATTTGGATGAATTTTGGAGTGCTTTGTTCTAACTCTGACGGATGGCACCAAGCACATTACTCAAGGCTACCAATCAAGTTATCTAGCAATTAAGAAATGCATATTTCATTTCTCTCACAGTAGGCTCCATAAAGGGCAACAGCATAAGAAATTAAATGGGGTATAAATATGACTACCTTATACACACAGTTCCTCACAAAATTTACCAGTGTTTCCTGGCATACACGCAAGTTCACTTTGAAGAACCTTTATTATCAAGGACATAATTATCAAAATTGAAGGCTGGGAGAAGATCATGTAACTACAGTCTAAGCTAGTGCAAACTGCAGAAGAATAATTTGCAGATAACGTGCTAATGAATCATTTTTTAAATTATAAATGAGTCCATGAATATGAAGTATATTTAATTTATTTACCTGTTTCTCTCCACGACTGCTATGTTTTTCAACTGATGTAAAATTAAAAATTCTGTTTGAAAACTTCACTTAAAATACACTAGCTTAGACTGATGTACTGATTTATTCAGGACTACTTATTATGCATCCAACTAGTGAAACATTTGAAAAAGCAAGAAGGAAGCCGAAAGTCTTTTCCCATATATTAGAAATGAAACCTTAAAATACCTCCCACTTCATTTTACACTATTGCTGTTTTTCCATACTGCACACCGTATAATTTCACGTGCTTTATTGGTCAGGCAGTCTTTGAAAACAAGATCTTTTAAGCTCACAAGTATAAACATAAAATCCAGTTAAACACGGGTATTCAAGTATCATCTTTAAAAAAGCAGAGGAAGAAGAGGCTTGCTGCACACGTTACTGATGCTTTACCGCACCTTTTCAGCAGCGCAGCGCTTAGTGCCAAAGTGAAATTGCATCTGTGTAAGCCAGGACTCCATTTGTCTGTATCTCTTCTGAGCAGGGAAGAGCTCTACCTCACGTTAGCACTATATACCACGTAACTACATGCTCTAAGACTATATTTATATTACATAGAAATGTAACGTTTACAAAATGTTTTACACTCATGTTAACTGTGCAGTGCCTGTGTTGCGTTACGGGACCTTAGCGTAAATGAGAATTGCTATTTTCACAGTCCATGTTTTAATCATGTTGTCACCAGGTTAGCAATAGTTTACAGCTGTGTATCAAATGTCTAAATGCTATCCAAATAAGCTTCCAGTATGTATTATGATTGAAACAAAAACAGCACACTGATGCTTTGAAAATGTGAATTGTTACATAAAAGCTATCTGGAAGGCTCCGAAGCAACTCTAAATCCTAGTGCTATATCAGAAAACAAATTAAGCTAAAAACGTTGTACAGGCTGAAGGGTTTTTCTGCAATACATTTATAAAACGCTTAGGTCTTTAAGTATTCAGGAAGAATGAGAGGTTGTAGGAAGTCGCAGTATTTTTATATTTATTTGAAATAGATAATCTTACAAATTTATATGCTGTTTTCACAGCCGGAGTGGCTTTGGTCATTGCTGTGTTGATCAGTGCACCGCCTTTCTGAAATACAGAAAAAACATATTTTAGTAACGTTTTAACCTAAGTCAAACCTTAAGACAATAGCATGGAAAAATAAACAGTGTGCTGTAAGAAATAACAGTCTTCCTTTTAAAACGGTAAGAATAACCACAGCTGTCTTTCCTCCCCAACCTGCTGTCTGCAGCTACACAAGGGTTACAGTACGTCATTATCAGAGCTGACACATTTATCAATGCATTCTAACAGAATGATGTATTTCCATTATTAATTCATGGTTACCATTTCAAAATCAATTCAGAAGTTATGGCTATTTTTCATGTGTTCCTATCATATTTATTATGCAACTTAAAAACACTTTGACCTGACAGAAGGAACTATCTCATTTAATCACACAAGAATTCTCTTAATCTAAAATAATATATTTTACTAATCCTGCAGAATAACAAGGTTATACCAAGGGTCTTCTGCTAGCCAAACTGCACAAATCCGTATTAATGAAATTGCTATCTACTAGAAGTAATAAACTTCCTATCAAATTGTACTGTCACACCTAATTCACAGTTCTGGAATGTAACATGATACAGAAAGCAGGGAAATCCCTGACTATACAGACAGGAAAACCTTGTGCATTTTGGCATTTGTTTTGTGTACGAGACTACTGGCTTTTGGTTTTTGTAGATCTTCAAGAAAAACCCCACAAAATTATTGCATATATCATAGACATGTTATTTATTATAGAATGTACTTATATGTCCCTTGCAAATGAACAAACTTTTACCACTACATATATGCAAGGAAAAGGAGAAAGATTTAAAGAACAGGATGGCCAGTATAATTACTTAACCAAGTTTATACCTTCACAGTATGCATCCACTGCTGATAAGATCTAGAATTTCCTGAAATATAAACATAAAATGAAACACAATCAAACATACATTCACCATTTTAAATGTTTCAACCCTCCCCACGATCTGCATAAAAAATTCCCTTAGAGGATTATTCATTAATTTCATTCTCCACAGACAGACAAGGAATGTAAAGATAAGAATATGCGTACACTAAGAAAAAAAACCTAGGTACCTCTTATTTCATGTTTTCTGTTTTCTTGCTAAAAGCATATCTTTTCATCACACATAGTTTTTAATTCCAAATGAAGTAGAAAGATAAATAAAACTACAATAAAGTAAGGTACTGCTAAAACATCTCAAAAGAAAAACACCAACTCAAAGGAAAGAATAACATATGATGAACTGCATTCAAGCATAATGATCCCACTGGGCAAACTTTCAGGTACAAAAATTACGTGGACTGCAGATGGTACCATCCCAAGGAAAAAAAAAAAAAAAGAGGGAAAAGTCTAAGGATTGTGGCACAACTATATAGTCCTGTGCAAGAAAAATCCTTTTAAATTATTCTTTCACAAAGGAAAACCTCTAAAAGGCAAATGAGAGCTACTGGCTTCCACAGGACTACCACATCACTATGGTGGCCACGAAGGAGAGGTTGATGAAGAAGTGAATGCCATTTCCCAGAGGTGCTTCAGCTGAACACCAAAGGTTGGGTCCCTCATCCCTGAGAAAGTTCTATAGTCCACCAGTCACTGGAATACTCTGGTACTGTGAGCTGTTACTAGCCCCAGACAAGACATTCACGTTGACAAGAATGCTCAAGTTCCAAACAGGGAGTTTATCCTTTTTGAAAGGACCATACTGATACATCCTTGACATTACAGGCTTTTAACAGGAGTTCTCAAAACTTCTTAAGCTTTGCAATAATCCATTGACTAAGGCCTGGGTGGAATTATTGCATTGGCCAGTGGAAAGACAAAACATTCTCCTAGAACATGGCTGAGAACTAACTGGATCATTGTAAAAGGTACTCCCAAGTTTCCCAATGAGGTGAAAAAAATAACCTGTGCATACTCATATCAGGCGCTTTCACCCATTCCACTAAATTCTTTACAGGCAATTTTGAGACAGCCAAACTCTCAGGAATGATGGCACAAGTGAAAGCAATGCCTGCTGAGAAAGGAAAGAACCTGATGATCATTACGATCTTATCTCCAGTAAGAACGTCAAAGAGCAACCTAAAGCAAAAATTACTCATTTTTTACTTCTTTCATCTGTCTCCCTCTAATAAGGTATAACAGGTAATAAGGTGAAATTTAACCACTGTTAGTGTGTTAATGACATTTCAATGAACTGTAAGTACTTTCTTTAACATAACGTTTCATACCTTCAAATTCTTATCAACAATATTCATATATCAACTGTCTTGTGGTGTCTTTAACAGTCACTTTTTCAACATCTGAGCTTCCTCTGTCACAGCTTATGGCTTAAGCAATTACTAGAGACAATAAATGAGACCACAGAAAATCACCAAGAAGTTTAACCGTCTTCTAGTTGTGTAGGGAGACTTCAGGGGAGGCAATAGAGAAAACAGATAAACGCTAACCTACAGAAAAGGCGACGTTAACACTGCAGACCCTCAGCTACAGCTGAACCTTCTGAAACTCTAGCAAGAAAATGCAGATTCCTTAGAATAAATTGTTATTAAAAGAGAGGTTCAGAGGCTTTCACTTTTTCAGTTTTCTTTACGCTACTACCACTGATATTAGGCCAACTCAAAAAAATGACTGCCGTAGTAAAATTCACTTGATTACAAATTACTTTAATAGATATATTCTACAAGAAATCCAAGCCAATCTTCACTATATTTTTGTATTGAAAGTTAAATAAAACTCTCGAGAACTAGTACGTCCAAAGAATAATATATGTAACAGAAAATAAAATGTTAAGTATAAAGTGCAAACTGTAATAAAGGGGGCTGACACTTCTTTGCACATATAGTCATAGGGAAGTAAGTTGTGACCACTTTATTGGGAAAAAAAAAAAAAAATCTGTTTTTTTCTCCAATTTCCAGTTTAATTTTCTGTGCTGGTTTAGTTATGCTCACATATGTGGAAAAATGGAAATTAAAAAAGAGATTGCTTAAAAAACACTTTCCACTTGATTCCGTAATTTTTAAATTATAGTCTCTACAGCTAAGAATATGTCCACCTGTCCTTTTAACGGCTGGTAGCTCACACTAACTTTCTGTGACTTTCTGAAGGCTGGGTTTCACCTGTTCTTTTAAAACCTCGTGCCTCCTGATAAAGTTGAGGGGAGTTAACTCTGCAAAGAGATCATAGTTCTACCCCCATTAGCGTCACAAAATGTCACCTCCAATCGCATACATATCGTTAGCCCTGCACTTCGTAATGATAATGAGGCAGCAGTTATGTAAATACTGAATATGGGCCCTAAGCAATTTGTCCACAGCCCGGCAATATGCAGCTTGTCTGACTTGAAAAGCAAGCATGCGGAGCGACCCAAGCGAGAACCGCCGGCGCCGCCGCGCACGCCCTCCCCAGCAGAGCCAGGTGAGACGTGGTTCACGGGCTGCCAGCGCGCAGCCAAGAAACAGGCTTTATCCAACTTCTGTTGCCGTGTTATTGCAGCCTCCTGACCCCCTAACTGCAGTCAGTGAACGAACTCCGAATACTGACACCACCTGTTTGAATAATGGATGCTCGATGCCTAAAATCTGTTCACAGAGCAGCGTTAAGTTACCCTACAAAGGCAGAAAAGATGTAAATCTCTGTGTAACTAACCACACTTTAATCAAGAAAAAAAAAATTACAGGCTAGATCATAGCACAAGACACAGAGGGCAGGAGAAGGTGGTGAAAATTTTGAACAAAAAGATTTACTGTACTCGGTGACCATAAAAAAGGTATTTTACAGACGGCAAAGATGGCTCTGCACCACTTGATGATTTCTCCATTGAGGCCACAACCTCCCCGCTGTAAACATGCCCACGTGAGGGTAGTCTTGCAAAGGACGACCGTCTAAAGCTGTCACTCAGTGGATTTGCTCAAATCATGTAACCTCCATTTACTGGGAAAAACTCCTATGCTACGTTAAAGACCACAAAACGTACTCGTACTGTGTCATGCACATTTTGTTCCTATATTCTGATAGAAATTATGATACCTAAAATAACAATATAGCTGTTAATAAATGACTAAAAGGAAAGCAATCAATAATCCTGTAACATTCCGCAACGGATTCAGCACCCACTCCTCTACATGGGTTAACTTTGTAAGCTAGTTAATGTGAAAACTGTTATAACGATTGTCAGCAAACATAACTGAAGGAAACAACACAAGAAACAATATTTCTTTTTATGAAGACGGTAAACTTTCAATGTTTCTTCTGAGATGATATACAAATGTTAATTTTCTTTCCTCCTTTTTTGAGTAACACATTTGCTGGAGAAAGCAAATTTCTCTAAAAATTCAGGAAATCACTCTGATTTCTGCACTGCAGAAATAATTAGATATGAAAAAAGTTAGAAGTGTTTATGGAAAACATAACTACCTAGAAAAAGTTCAGCAGCATGAATTTCAAAATTATTTTTAAAATAGTTTACAAATAATGTAACACATTATGTAAATATGCAGTCAAAATGTACATAACATAGAAATATTTCATTATATACTGAAATTTACTTATGTTACTGGATTAAAACAACATATCTTCATTTAGTATACTGACATAACCAGATACATAATGATCTGTGTCTCAGCAGCAATTTGTTAAAGGCTAAAACCTTTCCAAGAATGAATGGATACAATGACAAAGTAGTAAGATTAATGACTTCTAAAATTTACAAGACATCCTGAAAACATCATCATGTTGAAAAGCTCAAAAAAAGCATCATCAGTGCACTCAAATTAATTCTGTACCTCCACAAAAGCCTCCTGCTGTGATTTCTTCTTCAAAAACATCACAGAATCCTCTTCCTGCATTTAATTTTGATAGCCGACCATCAATAAACTGAAAAAAAACCAAGACATACTTTCTATTGCTATACAGTGTTACAGTTTTCAGTGTGTACATTACAATGAAATATGGATGTTCAAGACATCCTATGGCTTACGCATAACGCATTTATAAAATACAAAATTTTATAGTCAATGAAATTACACATCAGTTTGTTCAGAAATATTTTAAATGGCTTCCAAGCTTTTCTTGTGCCATGAAAATATATTAATTAATTTCCTTAGAAATGGTAACTTTGGATTTGTAATCATAATCAAATAAAGATCACCGAGACACTCCCTGATTTTCTGTTTTCAAACCGCAAGGTTACTTCGTCTCATCAAGAAAAGAACATAAACAAACCTCCCTACTATATCCCACTCTGGGTATGCGCCAATAGGTCCAAAGCAGAACTTGTTGTGCACAGAAAGTACTTTTGGAACAACTGGAAATGTTTCACCACACCCAGTTCAAAGAAACGATAGACTACGATGTCTATTTGAGGTCCATTGAAAGTGTCTTTTACATGAAAAATGACCCTATAAGGACAGTACGTGAAGGGAAACTGTAGCAAAACCACCCACACTCGACCAGCAGAGGAAGGCTGGGGCTTGGCTTCAGAAATGGTGGTAGCAGACGGTTGGATTTGCCTGGCAGTGTCCAAGCTGACTCGAAGGACATTTCAGTTCAGTGTGTGGGAATGTGATGCACGAAGTCCCAAAACAGCGAGGCATGATACCAAGCGCAGACCCCTAAAAGTCTCTCCACCTGACTGAGCACAGTTTAGGGTTGACACCACTGTATTTTTAGGCTCCAACCCATCCGTTTGCCCTTTCTTTAACCATTAACTCTTACTTAGTTGCATCTCCAGGTGCATTATTGCAACAGCTGTCCTTATGCAGAGCTTAGAGCTGCATGAGCACACGGATTTGCATCCACTTAAGCATATACAGAAAGACTGAAATGATCCAAATACGTCAGAAATCAGAAAAAGGCAAAGAACGATAATTAATGATTAAACCTTTCAGAAGGAATGAATACATTCTTTTCAAGAATTACTGGGCCTCAAAGAAGTACAACGAGCACATTCTTAAAGGTTTAAAATTCTTTCAAGAAGCAATCCTTCCCTTTTTGTTTTGAAAAGGCTAACTCAAGTCTGAGAGATAAAGTGAGAAAGCACTTTTCCAATTATACGCAGTTCATCTTCTAGCAAGAATTATGAGCTATTCACCAGTACTAAACAGTACATAGGAACTAACCAAAATTAATCATTTGGCTCTATCATATTTTACCACAGATTATCCAAACAGTGTCAGTGACAATCTGATGCTTGGCAATGACCAGAGTAGTGATGTGAAACAAATTACTTTCTCAGAGGACAAAAATTCCGGCAGCAAGAATAAGGCAGGCACGAAGATAACCATTTCTTTCTCTTTCTTGTCTAAATTCCTGCTTATTTTTTCATTTTACTCCAAGCTGGCTTTCTTTACAAATAGGTTGGTTCATGGTCAGAGCACTATGGGATCACTGGATTATTTCACAGTAAGAAAAAAAGAGATAAGAGCATCTTTAGCTACTGCTGTGAAAAAAAAAAACCAAACACCACCCCCTCCCATCCTCAGCCTTTGAACTGTAAGACATTATCTCTTTTGTGAAAGTTATTAATTCATTCCATGCTATAAACTAACGTAAGATTTATGGACATACTCATCACGAGTATGAGGCTGAGACACTGACTGAATTTTAGTTTTAGAGGAGCACTCCAACTGCGTATTTAACGTAAACACTGGCGAACAGAACTGTTAGCAAAAAGGTATTGGAGATATTATTTAAAGACAATCATAAGTGTTAGCAGTGGTAGTAGTAGTTATTACTTTTGAGTAATTTACTGTTAATGGTTGCACTTAAATTGCTATGTGAAGAGAACAGCACATGGAATCACACATTCACTTCATGGTTTTCTCCTCCCGTTTTTCAAACCCACATTCTCTCAAAAAATCTGGGCCTGCTATGTCAAGAAATGCATTCACTTTGAGATCCAGAGAGCCCCTGGCTGCCCACTGCTTTCCATGAAAAACGAGTAATACCAGTGCTGCTCTTGGATTTTAAGTCGATTAAAGAAAGAACTACCATAATCCTTAATAATTTTGAATTCTAAAAACAAAGTATAGACCGTATCTTCTTCAGAAGATCTTGTTGGACAGGTGATAAAGGGTGGGGGGTGTGGGAGGAGAGATGATGTTTGAGCTAAATCCAAACAATTATTAGGGCGGGAGTAAAAATTCCAAGTCAATTGACTCATTATTAAAAACGAAAAGTTGGTAGAAGCAAAGAAAACATCATAAAGATGATTTCCACACAATAACAGGTCAATAGCGTGTAAGAAGAGAGATTGACTCATAAAGCTTGTAAATGAAATTTGACATTATTAATAATTTTCAAAGACTTATGATTCTTCAAGTTCTAATCCTGCATTCATTACTTATTTTTCTAGTTAGCGCTTTCCACCATTTTAGGAACAAATCCCAATAAATGTTGCAAATTACATTACTTATACAATTACATTATTTAATGAGATAATGTAGCACGAAGCTTCATGCTAGTTCTAAGAATTAATTAATAGTTTCCCTGGACACTCATCAGAACTATTTGACGTGTAAGATGCAACTATTAATTGCTTATGTTTGCAGCCTGAAATAAAGATTTTAGCTACATTCCATGTTACCCTAATTAAAGGGGAGCCTTTCTAAGGCTCAGAAAAAGCTAACATATAAATAACATACATAATAGTACAAATATCAAAGCTGTGGAAAAAAAAGTCAGAAAAGTAGTAACATAACTATACAGTCTAAGAGGGCAAACATTTAATCTGAATAAAAACTATCATATACAGAATATTTAATCAGGAAATAAGATTATTTAATACATAAATAGTAGTTATTTTCTTTCTAAGAAAAATACTTTTCTATTATTAAATATCCTAATAGTTTAAGAATATAAAAGAAGATAAAGAATATAAAGAATGATAACCAGGGTTTTTAAAATTAAATCTATGCATTGCAGCAAACTGAAATTCACACGTCCCTATAGTTGTGATCCACATCAGGGATTACTCATAAATTAATTCTATGAATTCCTGGAAAACGTATGTTTTGCATAAACAGTTTGGTGTATACTGTTTCAGATCAATATAAGCAGTTCTTTCAACTTCCAAAAACATGAAGTCATCAACCTGATTTAAAAGATGTCTCCATAATTTTTAAGTCCAAGAGAATGGTTTGAGGCTAAAAGATGGTCTAGGCATGGTCCCCACCAAAATTATCCCGTCTCAATTTTCAGTAAAAACTCTAATGCTGAGTAAGGGAACACAAACATAAGCGTTAATGAAAATGAGATACAGAAATGGACATTATAATAACTGAGGAATAAAACTCCAGTAAAAAAAAAAACAAAAACTCAGCTAGATTCACCTCTGTTATACGATTCTAAGGAAACCAGCACATATATCTGGAAGTAAAAAAGTTTTTATCGAGTCTATCAAAGTAAAGGAAACACAGTTGAAGTGAAGAATAACAGTACCATTACTTTAAAAACAAAGCTTGCGAGATGCGCTGGGCTGTCAGTTTGCCCTTAGCAATTTCATGAGGGTTACAAATAGATTTTGGGGAGAAAAAAGGTAAATGAGTAAATGGAAAGGTATAATATATGAGTTTTCAGAACACTGGTTCTCACAGATTCTTTGACAATTAATTTTCATTAATTTAGATAAAGGAAATGTAATTTATCTATACCACAGAAAAGCCTCTTGCATATGTCTCAAAATACTAGCTTAGATGAAAGAAAAGCAGGATAGCTGAACTGTACCCAGGCACGTTAGGTTGCATGAGGACTGGCCCAAAAAGAAGATAACAGCTTGCAATGAAAGGAAAAGTGTCAGGCTGGAAGTTTCACTGGTCATGGTATTTAAGGGTAAGTGTTGGGACTGATCCTATTTACAGGTTAGTTAATGATTTTGGTACAGAAGATTGGCATGTGCTAACGCATTTGGGGAGATCACTAATAGAAAGCACTTCACAGTGCAATACAAAAGTAAAAACAGATGATGATCAAGATTAAAATAATCTGAATGAGAGTAACACAAAGAATTAATTCCACAATTTATTCTGACAGTGATTTCCTAGCACTTTGGTGAAAAGATACTACAACTTCCAAAATGAAAATAGTGGTTAAATTAGAGGAACTAACATGTTTTACTGTAGCAGAGAGGGGAGATGATTAAAAACCTACCAAAAAAAAAAAAGAGAGGAAGAGTTTTATAAAATGGCATAAATAAAGCTTACTTGCCAGTTATGGCAAAAAGGGTGCATTTAAAATGCCTATTTTCTGTTTGGTCTAGGTTTAAGGCTGCTTCTAAGAACTATTTTCTGCTTAAAAGATTTTCTAGAACAGAATAAAATACATTTTTAGTCTTTTTGAACACCAGCAACTTTGAAAACAGCTCATTTGTCAGTGGGAAAAACTGGAGACGATGCAGCTGTGCTGAGGATTAGCTGAAAAAGTAGGAGTAACGTTCACAACAGAAACTAGAAGAATGAAAAAAACCTACTACTACTACTAAACCACACACATCATCAAAATCGTTACTATTTCCTAATCCTCTAAAATATATTATTTCCTTTAGTTGAAATAAAATTCAACCAAGCTATAAACAAACTGTAAACTGACTCTGTTTAATTGAACACATATTAAAATGTAATGGGTAAATACAGAGCCACACTGACAAGCCCATTCATTTCAGTGGAGTTGAACCTTTTTCTTACAGCTGAAGATCTTGCTTTAGCAGTAGTAGTGTGACAACAGTTTAGACACATTGCTCGTAGGCAGCTCTCTATTAAGAAAGTTTCATGCTAGCTTATTGCACTGAGATACAAAAAATGTAAACTCTGTTTACTCCTTTACTTCTTTCCATTTCAATCATACATGCTGGATACTTCAAAAGGTTTCAGATTTTTTCTTTATTATTTTATATTTTTATTTACACTTTGTTATTGCATAAAATAAATGACAGTAAAATTAAAGGAGCCAAATTCTATGATCAGTATTTCCTTAACTTTTATACAATTAGGAGAAATGTATTTTCACAAGACCTCTACAAACTATCATCCTTGCATAAATCTTTACTTTAGACACTAGCCTCTGATTAACACCAACTCTTATTTGAAAATTAGAAGATTCTACATATAATGAATTTCCCTTATCTATCATGGTACTATATCTTCAAAGACTACCACCAGATTATTTAAACATGAACTCCTATGCCTCAATCATTCCAGGTATTTGCAGGCAAATATATACTTTTGTAAGTGTTCTGAGTTCATTCAGATTTTCCTTGGTTTTCCTACAAATCTAGTAATAAGTTTCTTAACACCGTTTAGATGCAATGGGGTCATGTCATGAAAAAGGAGAAAAGAGAGTTACAGAATAAAATCAAAGAAAAAAATTCATTTCAAAGACGGTAATAAAACTATTACTGAGCTGTGCCAGACATTCAACAATTTGTTCTCTATTCATGTTCAAAATCTGCATTAACAGATCAGCCAGAATGTTCTTCAGGCCACCCCTATGGCTTAGGTTTGTAACATCCTCTGTATGCATACTTCAAAAAGCCTAGCAAAGAAAACTGCAATTACAGTATGAATCCAGTTTTTAAATAAAAAGCCACTGAAGAACAATTTAACTAAGCACTATGTTGTTTAGGTTCTTTAGTCCTGAGCCAAGAGAGCTGAAAATGAAGTTCAACCATCAAGCTGGGAGATCCATGATTCTTCTTGTTTAGATGAGTTGCTGACTGGCTCTGAAGAGATGCTGCACTGGCTCTGCAGCCTGGGGTTATTTTTTTCTGTTAAGTTTCCCCATCACCATCACTCCTTTTAAATATAACTGAAGATTTAAAAATACAACAAAACTGGGACGACTGTCTGTACACAAAGGACTTGAACTTGTAGTTTATCCCAGAATGTCATAAGCTGACAGAAAAGAAAATGCATTGAAATATAGATATGTTTTAAGAGAAAATCATTAAATATGGGTCATTTACCCTCTCATACCTGTTTAAACAGTTGAAGATTAACAGCAGTTTCCAGGAACTGCTTAGTAGTACTGGAACGATGCTTCACAAAACTGTTTTCACAGAAGGTTATAGGCTCTCCCTAAAAAATTTAAACAGAAGAAGTTAGATGGTAACTAGAGTACACAAATACGCTGATTTATTGAAAAACCTCCATTACAAATTTATTAAGAGTCAATACATACAAATATATCCTTTCAAGCAATCTTGATAAACATGCATCCAATTAAACAGTCATAAACAATAAAAAAAGCCTAAAATCTTCATGCAGTATTTAAATAGTTCTCAAAATACATGTTGCAATTGAACCTTTGGTTTATGAAGTCAGTCTACAAAATACGCATTGCCAGGAAAAAGTAAGCGATTTACAGTTGGTTCGTGTTACCTTTATAGCACTCTTCATTAAAAATTTCAAGGAAGTGGTTGAAATTCTGAGGAAGAGCAGGTCCACTGCTTCATTGCAAGGGGGCTGGACTAGACCTCTAAAGGTGTCTTCCAACCCAAACTATTCTATGATTCTTCAGGATTACTCAGACTGGCCAGCATGCTAATTCATCAATACTAGTAAACCAAAACTCTAATTCAGTCCAAAAACATGTATCTGCACCAAATTATTTTTATATTTATTCAACCAAAACATGAGAAGATCAAGAAATATACTACTGATTTAACAGAAAATTATTGAAATACACATCTATTTTATTTTTACACAAAACAAAAGCTAGAAACTTTTTGGAACATTATCTGGATGACAATGGATGAAAGTCTGAACAGATGGGATTAACATTTAATACAATAAAATGTATTTCCTCAACAAGGGAAAAGCACATAGCCTATAGTTACCAAAAACCCTGCACCAAAGCATTTCGATGATGAAAGAAGATAAACAAGTATCCACTGAAAATGAAGTGTTTGTTGAAGAAATTATTAGTGAAAACAGCACTGATTTAAAAATAAAAGATATTAATATGATTATTTATAAACATTCAAATGGACCCCTATATTACTCCCTACTTTAATTTAAAATTTGCTATCTTCAGTGTGCACAGACCACTGGACATTTCTGATGAGCATTCTCTCCAGTTGTGTCGTTCTTGTCAATACTTTGTGACAAATACTTGAAGCTGTTTGACTTAACTGGACAGGTATATTACAAAGTTTGTGTAGTTATCAAGGTACATAAACTGATTTCATCATAAAGCTAAAAGGCCTCTCGCCCAAGTTTACAAAATCAAAATAATTACCAGGTTTGAGACCTTTGGTAATTGTTCCTAAGACAGCAAATTTGGAATCCAACAAAATGCCACACTTAAACCTGCCACAGAATATTTTGCTACCCAGAAGCTACGTATAAGGTACAGCCCCACAACAGATTAAGAGACACCTCTGCCATTCAAAAGAAAAAAGATCCAAGACAGCTGCTATATTGATCTTCACAATAGCTTCAGCTGTTAGCCACTTTAAAGACAAATTTATTCATGCCTGTGATCACCACAGCTTTCTGCCCCTAACCCTGTTTAACTTTAACTGCACATGCTACTTCACACATTTCCCTATCGTTCTGGCTGACGGTGCTGTTAGGTGCTTCCAGAATATCACAATCTGTTTTCTGCATGTGATCTAGGTGAGTTTGGTGGAGTAGCTCTAAATCATTCCCAACTGCTCTTTATACCCTGCGCTTTGTTTTTAAATGGTTCAAGTACGATCCAAGGAAATGCTGCAGTAAAAACACGATGATGTCATTTTAAAAACCTGTTCTTATACTATCAAAAGCTTTCCTCTTTTTAAGTCTCTCTTTTCAAAGGCCCAATCCCACTCAGCGAAGTACTTAGCTTCAAGTTTAACTTGTTTTTAAGTTTTACAGCCTTACTTCTTTCTGGAATATCTGATTTTAGAAAAGAAATCTCACTGGAAGAGCCAGAAGCTATACATTTACCTAACGTAACCCTTCCTCCTTCACTGGGTAGCGGGAATGCTGTGATGCAAACCCACCTCAGCACGGTATGTTGCGCTGTGTTGATCAAGTCTCCAGGAGAAGCATGCAAGTCACTTCACCTACTGCCTATCCCAAGATAACTGGTGAACGCTGTACGCATGCAGGACACGCTGGATCTGCCAAATAGCTTAAAATGTTTGCGGTACTTTAAATAGCACTGCCTTCCTGACCCACTTTGCATTAGCTATTCTTGAGCTCCTAAAGACTCTTGTCTTAAGAAGATGACCCCGAGCTACTTGGAAAATTCAAAGTGCATTAAAACAAATGAAATAGTCTCCAGTGAGATAGGGTGGTACAAGGCACAGTGTTCCTGAGGGCAGACTCTCTTCTCAGTTCTGTCCTTCTTCCAAAAAAATGTGAAGGCAGCAAATTATAACAACTCCCTATTTTTATGTATGTATGTATGTATGTTAGTTGCTGTTGTCATACAAAGAAATCATTTCTGGAAATACAGAGGCTTTGTGGGAGTGCAGAACTGACCAGATGATGGCTCATGACATACTATGAAATATTAAATTTAGGACCAAAGAGAGAAAATAGTATTTTCAAAACATACTACTTCGAAAAATTAAAACTAAGTTATGCCTCCACTGCCACTTTCACAGTTGTGTTGAGGAAGATGAAAGAGAAGAAAGAGAGGTTATCTCCCAGCAGAAGAGACAACAGGAATGCTTGCTCTCCCTTTCACAGCAGCCTGAGAAGAGAGCGCATTCAGAGAGTTTTACTCGATGGCACTTCTCCCACCCGAGCCACTAACAGAACGCCAGGAAATGGTAGTTCAACACACATTTTTAGTGCATGGCTGTAATATTTTCCCAAATACTTTCCTTTAATCGCTGCATGCTTCAGATACTTAGCAAGCACTCCTGCATTGGTGCATCTGTTCCTTTATCAGCACCGTTCAGAGACCGAATAACCAACGCTATTCCTTAGCTGAAAATTTATTTAAATCTATGTATAAAAATTTCACACCCAAAAGTCATCTATGTTACTTGAACTTACTGATAGCAAGGTTGCTTTAAAAATTTAAGTCGGTTTAAAGCTCCTACCTGTTCAGCACATGAAAATAAGACAATCTGTTGAAACCTGTAGAAATTCCACACTAAAGTTTTCTCAGGGTATCTGCTGTAACTTTACTGAAATGGCATTAAATAATACAATTAATTCCTAGCTCTGTTATTTGTTCAAGGCTCTGAACAATAAAAATGTTTTCCAAATAAAACATTTACAAATCTTTGAGATTATCACTGTAAATATGAGGCCTTCTAAAATGTTATTTAAAAACAAATTATTGAATCAATATAAACACCAATAGCTCTAGAAGTTTTCATACATAAAGCTTATAACATCCTCATTTCTGCAAATACAACCAGGTACCTTTAGAAACTGAGTTTTGGAGGAACGCTCCACTGATAGTTAACTACTAGATCATCAAATGGCCCCTGTCATATTGATCTACAATGTACTTTCAAAACAAGTTCGATCAAAACCCGGTAGGGACTCCATACTGAAAAGTAGACAGCTAATACCCAGACCAAACAATCTATGCCCAAACAAGATATCTGTCCTTTTAACAACAGTTGCTATAGAATTTTCTTCCCCTTTCATAGCTTGCCACACACAG